CCTACTGACTGACGTCTTGTCCCCGTCCGTGTTGGAAGACACCTGAGTGACTGCAAGGGAAAAATCAAAAACAACACAAAATGATGCTGAAGAGGAAATACTAATTTCTTAGTATGACCCTCTTTGCCAAAAAATAAAGAAAACTCCCATGAGCATCCAGGCAACACACTTACCAGGAGCCAGGAAAACGAGAAGCAGGGCTGGCCCCCGCAGCATGCCTGTGGCCGTGAGTGAGACTGGGCTTCGGAACAGATGTGACAGGAGGGAAGTGGGGCTCTCTCTTAAAGACTCCAGGCTGAGGGCAGACGGGGCGGGTTCTGCAGGAGGGCCTCCTGGAGGAGCCCCGACCCTCTGCTCCCACCCAGTGCTTGAGGGCCCTCCTGAGGCCGGCCTGGAGCAGGCCCTCTCCCAAGGGCAGCAGGGAGCCCTGGGGGCTCAGAGCTGCAAGCAGGTGGGTCAGCTGGGGTGGGAGGGAGACCTTGGATGAGCTTGCCTGTGGCCTCGGGGAGAGCGCTGCCCTGAATCGGTCTAATGTCCCTGCAGGTCAGTGCTTCAGTGTTAGTGCTCCTGCCCTGGTCTTGCCCGGTGATGAAACTTCTTTACACTCTTTCCCTGAACTACCTTCCTTTTATGCCCTGTAGGGAAACTTTGAGGTAACCAACAGCAAATCTAAAAGCCGCCAACCTGCTTTATTTCATGAACTTAAGATCAGTTGTGTTCAAATGAACTTATTTACAAAACACAAGCAGACCCATGGTCACCAAATTGGAAAGGTCGGGGAGGGATAAATTAGCAGTTTGGGATTAGCAGGTACAAATGATTATATGTATTTAAAATAGAGAAACAACAAGGTCCTACTGTAGAGCACAGGGAATTATATTCAATAACTTATAATAATCTATAATGAAACATAATATATACATAGCTATAACTGAATCCCTATGCTGTGTACGAGAATCTTACACAACATTGTAAATCAAGAATACTTAAAAAAAAAAAAGACTTAGAAGCCATGTCAACTAAGAGAAAAAGGATGAGGTGTGTCGATCTTTATTCGACTCTCCTCAAAGGCAAATGTGTGTGTTTGCTTATAAATCAATTTGATACAGCATTTTTGTTCATCATCAAGTAAACAGTCCTCACGCAGGGTGGCCAAATTTAGTGGGCAGAAAAAAAAAAGGAGAGAAAAAAACCTGCATGGTACTGTGTGATATTTGAGACATGCTTACAGTTAAAAAAAAAAA